GGGGTTTAGTTACCCATATCTTTGTCTCCTGAATGAAAGTAATTTAGGTGAACTGGGCCGTTTCAGATCCACTCCTGCGCTGATCGGAAACGGGGTTAATTTTCTACATAGACACAAGGTGTCAGGAAGCAGCAAACTTTAGCTACTTAAACTAACTTTTCATCAGTTTGTGCTAGAGTTAGTTTTTTTTATTTCTAGTAACCTTGAAGATTAAGCTGTAGAAAGCAAAATAAGCTTTCGAATTTCAACACATCACTAAAGATTAAACAGGAGAMGCTTTTTGGCTCGGTGCAGCCAGGCTCATATTTCACATGCTCAGGGGTTGTTAACAGCAACTGTTGGACACAATCTGAGCATTTAAATTAAATGATCAGCTGCTCYGAAACACGTTAAAAGACATATTTCAAATCTTGTAAAGTGGGGGTTCTGTGGAGCAGTTATGAACGATTAACATCTCACCTGCTCTGGATGTTTCTAAAATTTAATGAGACGGGATTGACGAGATAGCAACTATTCTGTGTAGCCCTAAAAGAATGTTTTTGTTWTAAAACAACTYCAATCTCAAACATTTTACAGTGGTTCACATATACTTAGCATAAAACAAGTAAATTTGTGTTTAGTACATTATTTCTTTGTTTAATAATGCATCTCGGCAGTAGGTCTTATAGCGAGCACCTGATAGTTAGTACTTGGGGCTACCAGAAGTTTAAAAAAAGAGTCAATAACAACAACAAAATAAACTCTTTAGCAGAAAAGATTAGGCTAATTTTTCGTGTGCGCACCCACATACTCAGCTCTACTGCTCATCCCACAAATGCATGTTCCTTACAGATGTGGCATCATTTGAAACAGAAATGAACAAACTTTCAGACAGTATAAAATTTATAGCCATAAAGAATTATCACAGCAAAAAATAATCTACCAAACATTAATTTATTTACTTTTTGTGCTAAATTTAGCATCAGCTTAGCTATAAATGATCATTCTGGCAGAAATATTAAGATACAGATTTGCAGAAATTTGTGTAAATAACTGAGTAACGCAAATCTGACACTGATAATGGTTTCTAAATAGTGTTAACATTAACCATTGTGGGAATTTGGTGATTTGTTTTAAATCAGCTGAACTCTTTCTTGGTCACTTTTAGGGTTTGTTCAAAGAGATGCGTATTTAAATCCCTTATCAGATCTTAATAGTTCCCAACTTTGCTATATAGCTCCACTCAAAAAGATCTGAACTCTTTATTTTCACTTGTACTAGTGGAAAATGATTATTAGGACTGTCAGTTTATATAAGTTTAAAAAAAAGGTCATAATTTTTGTACAGCACTGAAAGCAGGTTTGAGTCACACCGGAGTGTGCTGTGAATAAAAGCTCTCAACAAGCTTCAGCACATTTTCCTCCAAGCTGCCGATGGTGGAAAAACGAAAACAACTTTTAACCTCTGCACTTGTCAGCAAGAGCACGCCTGCTTCACCCCTGCTGACGCTYCACTCGTGGAATAAAACAAAACAAAACAAAACAAGCTCCTGGACATCGCACATTTTCCAAACTTTGACTCCCACAGGCAGATCGTGCTGCTGTGGGGGGCCGGTGACGCAGCACGCCTTCAACCACAGACAGAATAAACAATCACCGCTGTCAGGATCAGCTCTGCGGTGAAACAACTGGAGGTGCAAGGTTGCAATTTGTGTTGGCACTGAGTTACTGAAGTCTCGTAATGTGAAAACTATTCATTTTCACTTTTTTTTTATGAACCTTCAGAGGACACGGTGGCTCTCGTGCGCCATAAAACGTACTTTATTACAGAAAAGTCAGTGGCAGCAACTAACTTAATGAAAATAATGTTTTACATTCCTCTCCTCWGAGTCAGCCAGTCTCATGCTAGGCATAAAGGAATATTGTTTTAGCCTCATATAGAGGAATTCCATTAATTCGTATCAGATACTTCTGGAGCCACAAACCAYCACAATGTTAATAAAATAGTCAATCTACTCAATAGGCAGCTCCGGTTTGGAGAAATCTGTCAGTGAAACCATGCAATAAGACTGAAATCCACTTCAGATTTGCGCCCTCAGATCAAAGAGCTGAGCGTTTTTGAACGGGGGGGATCAAATGGAGCAGCGAGAGGCCGACAGCACTGACTCCGAGGAAAGGATTAAAACAGCCATTAATTAAATATATTCCTCCTCAAAATCGCTGCTGCGTTTTTCAAGCCGATGACGCAAAACGCTAATGCCCGCTACGGTTTGTCACTCCATTCATCAGCGATTCTCTTTGAGGATTATTGAAGGAGGACGCCCGAGGGAGGCACTTGGAAGACAACACGAGGCTCTGACAGAGTCCTGCTGTCAAAACTGTGGTAAACTACGGGCGAGGGAGGGAGCGGGGRGACATGATCAAGTGGTTAAATAATCAGACATTTTCATACAAATTCAACAAATTTATTTTCCTCCAAAAAAAGGGCCAAATTCATCAGAAAAAAAGGCACTTAGCTTCCCTTGACTTGTGATGAATGCATCTAAACAACAAACCTGGTATCAGCCAAGGATTTTAAATTAAATATATTTACAATAAATAAAGCATTTATACAAATTTATACAGTTAATTGTGYCACTCTTAGGAAGAAAAAATACTCAACATCCTCCCATAACTAACAGAATAATTATATATATATGCATGAACATTATGAACAAAAAAATAAAGGTAACAATACTGAGTTTTTCCCTTTTATGCGCTGAATACTGTTTCTGTAAAGTTTCTGGGAGTGACAGCTGTACCTGTGTGCCTCTTGGCAGCAGCAGAGAAGTTCAATTCACTCAAGTTCCTCGATAGTCTTTTAGCAGCTCCTTAACACAGGTGTGTGTGTGTGTGTGTGTGAGTGTGAGTGTGTGTGTGTGTGAGTGTGTGCTCCCTGTCAGACGTGTGTGGGGCTGTCTGAGTGCAGGTCAGTCTTGGCCATGTGCAGGGCCACGGCGGGAGGTTTGTAGTGGCAGTGCGTGCTGCTGCAGCTGACGCCGCCGCACGGCTTCCTCCCACTAGTCCTGTCGGCCAGCTTCCTGCTGCACAGGCCCTGCCAGGTCTGCAGCGTCTTGGAGCTCCACACCCACACGCCGCTGGTGATGCCCACCACCAGCGACATGAAGATCTTCAGCATGAACACGGCCACCGTGGGCACGGACGTGGGCAGCGAGCAGTCGCCGGCGGCGCCCCTGAACGCGCCGCACCTCGTCTGCAGGCCCCTSAGCCTCCAGTGGTCCATGTTGAGCCTCTCGTAGAAGTAGCAGACGATGACGCAGGTGGCCGGCACCGTGTAGAGGATGGAGTAGATGCCGATCTTCACCATGAGCTTCTCCAGCTTCTCCGTGTTGGTGCCCTCCGTCTTCATCACCTTGCGGATGTGGAAGAGAGCCACGAAGCCCGTGAGGATGAAGGACGTGCCAACGATCAGGTAGCAGGACAGAGGGATGAGGACGAATCCGGTCAGAGCGCCCGCGTCCATGCTGCCCACGTAGCACAGCCCCGTCAGCTCGTCTCCTGCCACCTTCCTCATCGTGAGGATGATGATAGTCTTCAGGGCAGGGATGCCCCACGCAGCCATGTGGAAGTAGTTGCTGTGGGCCTCAATCGCCTCGTGACCCCACTTCTTCCCCGCGGCTAGGAACCAGGTGAGGGTCAGGATGACCCACCAGATAGAGGAGGCCATGCCAAAGTAGTAGAGGATGAGGAAGACTATGGTGCACCCAGTGGACTCCAGTCCCTCCTGGATGATGTACAGCTCACCTTGTTCATGGTCGCAGGCGATATTCTCCGGCCCGGCCACCGAGCGGATGATGAAGGCCACGGAGTAGACGTTGTAGCACATGGAGAGGAAGATGATGGGCCGCTCCGGGTACTGGAAGCGGTGAGGCTCCAGGAGGAAGGTCAAGACCGTGAACGCCGTGGAGACGAAGCACAGGATGGACCACACCGTCACCCAGATGAAGGCGAAGTCCTTGTCCTGCCTGGACCAGTAGACGTCCACTGCAGGGGAGCAGCGCGGGGCGCAGGACTGGCTCTTCTCCACGTACTGGAAYTTGTCCGGGTTCTCGCAGGTGCCCAGGGGGCCCGGCGGGCGGCCGCCAGGGGCGCCCGGCTGCCGGGGCCGAGGGGGCACCGGAAGCATGCCCTCGCCCTTCTTCCCCTCCACCTTGGTTTCGTTCTCGGGCGCCTCCATGCAAAGGGCGTTGGGGTCGTTCCTGGTGGGCAACTTGGAGCAGTTCAGCGAGTCGGGCCAGGTGTAGCCGAAGGACTCCATGATGGGGGCACACCTCTCCCTGGCTTGCTCGCACATGGGTCTGCAGGCCGGGATGGAGGTGGACACTTTGTCTGTGCACATGGGGGCGTAGAGGGAGCAGAGGAAGAAGCGCAGGTGGACGTCACAGCCGTAGGACACCAGAGGAGCAAACTCCAGCAGCTTGATGGTAGCCTCCTGCTGGTCGTCGTGGTCCATGAAGTTGGGCATCCGGGTGAGGTTGTAGCCGATCCCCTGGCACATGGGGATGGTGATGGGCTCACACTTGGCCGGTCTGCCTCGGTCCAGGTCGTAGGAGCCGATCTCAAAGCTGGAGCCACAAACTACCAGGAGAGCCAGCACAAACACCACCACATGCAGCGGAAACCCCTCCATCCTCACCATCGTTTCACCCCAAAAACAACCCTCTGTCTTTGAAAAGCGGTCATGGAAAAGTAAAAAAATAAATAAACAAATAAACAACAAAGGGGTCCGCTATTTCTCCATTCTGACACGGAGGAACCGTCCTCAGAAGAGCGCGACACAAACAGCTGCACACATGAAGCAGGATATTAAAAGAAGAAGAAGAAGAAGAAGAAGAGGCTTGAGTTGAAAATCATTAATCCAAACAGCGAGTCGAAACGCGGCTCCGTTCTTAAAACGTGACGGTGGGAAAACTTCAAAAACAGCCCAATAAAAAGAGCAAAAGCTCCGCGGTGAGAGCGCAACTCCCGGCGGGCAGGAAGCGGGCGGACAGGCGGCTCGGGTTTGAGCGGCTCCGGTCGGCTCCGGAGTCCTCCGCTTTCAGAGTCCAAACTGAAGTTTGTGAGCTGCTCAGACAGACTTCACCCCGGCAGAGACCGAGGAGGAGGAGGAGGAGATCCTGACGCTCGCATTTCAACCCCAACACCACACAAGGAAAATTATCAGACACAAGATGATCAAACACATCTGAGCTTTCAGACCAGAACCTGAACAAAGCCTGAGCTAATATCAGTGAATTTATTCAAGATGTTAGAATTAGAGATAAAAAAAAAATAAAAGCTCTATTTACGTTTTATGAATGAAAATACGAAAAGCCCAGTACTCATAGGATCAACAGGGGCACAATAAACAAAAGGAGGGGCCATGGGCTGAAATGTAGAGTGGGTCCCCGCTCAGCATCTTTAAAAACAAAATATTATTTAAAGTGAGTTTGTATTWGTTTGTTTTGGTTTATTTCCGGTACCAGAATTTTTTTACAATTACTCCTACAAAATTCCCTGATACTGATATTGAGAATACTAGTTTCAATTTTCCATTGAATAAATCACATTTACAATTCAAGTGAAACATTTGTCATTTACACGTTCAAGAAATTTACACAAGTTAAAAGAAAATTTTATTTGTATTTTTATTTATTTGAAAATGTTGCAACAGTATATATCCTGCTGTTTATTTGATTTGATGCAGCCAGAGGGGCTGTAGGCCTATAAGGAAGGAGAGCCACCTTATTCTAAATTAAGTAAATTTGTTTTTAAAGTAACTGTGTAATGTTTATGTTCTAATACATTCTGTATCAGTACTATGTATTAGCTGTGTTATAATAAAAAAAACTATCTTGTAAAAATCAAAATATCCATCTTGTATATTCATACAAGTATTCATAATATTCATACAAACTAACCCCTTCAGATGTTCACCTGTACTGACCTCCAGCAATCCGTAAATTTCATTTAAAAGATCTGTAGTACTCATGCACAATACAAAGGAGTGGGGGTAACAGTGTTTGCAACAGCGAGCGGAGGCACAGGGTGGGAGTGGTGTTGGTGGTTGGCGGCGCCTGCAGGGGAGCAGGTACAACCCATTGGGAGGAGGAGAAAGGTACAAACTTTGCATTTCCTTACAGACTGACTCTGAGATGTGAAAAAAAATCTTGAATTGGAAAAATCCATGTAATTTACGGACAATCCGTACAATTATAATAATGGAAAAAATGGGAAAATGGAGAGTGAGACACTATGCATTTTTCTGAAAATGTATTTTATGAAAACAAAACAAAACGAAAAAAGCACGTTTTGGGGTTTGTTCTTGGTTCTGGTACAGTAACATAACATGGGTTCAGATGCTTTTAATTTAAAACCGCTATTAAAACCATAACAACTTATTACAAGATGGTTATCTTGTTTTTGCGACACAGCTTCTTGTTATAACAAGATACTAATCAACAATAATTTTATATCATGTGACAGCTCTATGCATTGGTACTTAAACATTTCAAGCCAAAGTATTTTTCAAATGTATTGGTCAATTTTCAGTTTTTCTTCAGAGACCACTTTATTCACTACACAAGTATAAGCACCAAAGATGAAGTGGACCTCAGAGCAGAACCCACATGTTGAAGTGAGARCGTGTTTTAAGGACAACCCCTTCCATTTAAACAAACAAGACACAGTTAGTAATACAAAATAGACATAAAAAGGCATTTTCACATTGTTGCTGAATGYTTAAGAGTTAATTTTTCTAATATAATCTGTTTAGCTGTGTTAAATCATGTAATACTTTCACCTTCGCCCATCTGATACAGTAAATATACAACCTATAGTCAAAGAAACTTCTGTACATTAAAAAAATGTAACTATCACTTTAAAGAACCAGGCGTTAATGTTTAGTGTCTATCCATGTTTTGGTTGAAATCAACTCTGACATCAACAGAAAAGAAATAACAGAGGGTTGTATTTATTAGGTCATCATGTAACTGCCCTGTATGCATGGCTGTTTGTGTTTGTGTTAATTTGTTTGTCTTTTAGCAGAATAATTCATGAACCACTGGATGTATTTTAATATGGATGTCATTCTACAACTGACAAACATCGGTAGTCAGCGGTATTCAAGATGGCTGCTTGAGCAGGTCAACTTTAGCAAACTCTAAAATGGCTAAAATTCAGATAATTTTATAGATAATATTGCATTAAAATTTGGCATAGTAGTAGCCGAACAGATACTGAGAGCACTAACAAATTTAAATATTTAAAATTGTTATTCAAAGCAGCATGTTTCCTTTTCCAAATAGGCTAGTCAMTGATTTTCTGATTAATATTTTAGCAGGTAGGCAGTCCTTTATTTAAAAGTTACATCAAATTTATGGCAATTATATGTTAGGGTTGTGCTTCGATAATAGCTRTCACTTCAATAAAGTGCAAAATATAAAAGTGAAAAGAAAAGTGATCTAAAGAAGAAAAACCTAAACAAAGTGGGAGTAACGTGATATTTTCTGTCCTGCATGTGGGTGGCAGACTCAGGAGCAATGCATACAGCATCAAAACCATTAAATCCATGTAATAACATACACTAAATGTTGCAGAAATGTTTATTACCTTTCATTAGGTAATAATGAATAAAACTAAAAAGGTGGAGGCACTAACGAAGCTGTTTGGATCGTTTACATGTAGAGAAACTCGCCACTTCTGCTCCGAGTCAGAGTCAGAGTYGTTTATTTTTCTCCTCTGTGGTGGAGTCTTCTGGTAAAACGATAGCCCCGGCGGCACCCGGCTGTTGCTGACTCCAAATTACTCCACCACTGTTTCTGCTAATGTTTTTAAGAAGCACCATGTGAAACTTTCTCGAGCCCCGGTTCAGCTAAAAACAGAGCTCTTCCTGCAGCTGGTAGAAACCTCACCGCCTCCGGTTGCCAGAGATGAGGACGGTGACTGGAAACAACGTGAAACTCACGTGCAAAAGAGTGATGAGAGGACAGAACGGTGCTCAGGAAACTGGCAGAACTTGCAACAAAATGAGCTGAAAGAGCGACCGTGCGGTRCAGACTATTGTTTCCATCTAGTGGCTGAATGGCAGGAGTCTGTAGCTTCCCAGCTGTCGCACAGAGCATTTGATCTTTTCTCAAACAGGGCTGGAACTCAAGGATTTTGGCCTCTCGCCCTGCAGGACTGAATTGCTTGTCAACTGCATGCTGTCTCTATTAGCCAYTGTGGTAAAAGTCTGTCTGCTGAACGTGGTTGTGCACCTGCTTGGCCTGAGAACGGCTTATTTAACCCAACGTTTAGAGCTAAACTATGAAACCAAATGTTTACTGAAAGTGCAAACTATAAAAGAATGTTCTGTCTGGAACGTAGCACTCATTCTCCTTTTCTCTTAACAAGCTAAATTAACAGCTTCATCAGCTTCCAAGTTTAAATTAAGCCTGATTGAGTGGTGGGGGCTGGGAGGGGACAGCCTGAGATGATATCTTATTGTACTTCAGCTCTAAAGCTCTTGGTGAATCAAACAAAAATGCTTTGACTGAGGTTCCATTAAGGACCCAGCAGCCTCTCAGCTTTAACGTTTTTTAGGTTAACACTTCAAAGAGGGGGGGGTCATTGGAGAGGGCCAGCTGGCAAAGCCTAAATGTGCCCTCAGAAGGCCTCAGATTATTATCAGAGGTATCTTTCTCCAAGGTAAGCAACACATCTCAGGATGCATTAGCATCCAAGTCACACAGCTCCTTTAGGTGGGAGTGCTGGTGGATCAGCGTCTGAGGCGGTCTGACCTCTGAACAGACTGTTGAATCAGGCAGAAGAGGAACTTAATTTGGTGAACATGTTAACTTTTTGCAGGAGTTCAACCAGCCTTACCTGTCTCACCTGTTTGCAGTTTTCCTCACTGCAGGAACTACGGTAAATTTGATACAAATTCAACGGCACAAAGGTGACATTTTGTGCTTTGTCCATCACTGCATCCTCCTATTAAAAATAGTAATGTAATTGGTCTAAAGGCGTGCCGTGTACCTTCTCTCCATGTGGGGAGGGTTAGATTGCCCTCATCCTTGGTGCRTCTGCCTGGAGACTGAGGGAGCTGACTGCTTAACAAGTGCATGTTAGATAAACGTCAAATAGAAAGTTCTTTGTAAAATAAAAAGATACACACCTCTTTATACACTTATATCTCGGGAAGAAWTTACTTCTAGTTTTGTCAGCATTTGCAGGTGTTGCAGTTGCGCTTTCACCTTTCTTTGATAGAGAACATAAAATATACACAATACATGTGTTGTAAGACATCATAAAGAACATGCAGAGAACAAACAGCACACAATATGAACTTTGGGCTGGTTTTGTTACTGAGTTTAGACCAAACAGATTCATCATCTTCATCAGAAACTCTGCTTCATTTCGCAATAAAGCAATAGTCTGTAACAAACATCCAGACATCTCATCTCAGATGAACTAAAAAAACAGTTGAGTAGATCCTCTGGATGGGTTGAAACATTTATTCTCTTCTTCAAGAGACTTCTTCAGTCTGAGGAGTTACAGGAGCTCAGTCTTAYAATTAAAATGTTTCAATGAAGGAGAACCTGTCCACACCTGACTCAGCTTTTTTTCTTCTTCGATTATTGACATGCATCAGGTCAAAGTTATATTTGATCAATAAATAAATGATAAATTGCTACTTTCTTCTGTTGTGTGTGAATGGGGTGCAGCTTTTCATTGGTAGAGGAAGTGATATTGTGTGTGTGTGTGTGTGTGTGTGTGTGTGTGTGT